GTCCGGACGTCAATCCAACGCGTCCATTGACGGACGAGCGACGTACGGTCGTGAAATCGACGGAACAGGGGGTTGGCGAGGGGGGTGGAACAGCGCGTCGGGGCGGCAATTAGGACCCGTTCGCGTTGCCTGGTAATTTGCCGGTAATAGATGGCGACAATAGCTCTCAATTGATATCGATTTAATAACCGATAAGTAGAATATGTGCAAAGACACGAGAGAAACGTGCAGATATTTTCGGATGTTAGGAATTAATTGCTAACATTTCATTTTTTGCAACAGTTCATTTTATTAGAATATTTCTTATGTTATAATTACACCTTTCTACTTCATATTTAAAAACTACCTATTAACATTAAATATTAAATTGATATAATCTTATTCGAACCTGTGGAAGTTCGTTATACCACTTATCATTAATAACCTCTTTAATATTCTTAAAATGTTTGGTCTCTCGATGTCAAATGTTTTTGCTGAAAAATGAACGTATTTCCTTGCCGTGTGAATATCCCAATCATAACTCAAGTGTTTATATATTATTAATTTATAGAGATAGATAATTCATATATTCTTGCACATGTTTTTGCAAAAATTGCAAAATAAAAATTACACTTTTAGTATCGTCTGATTAGAAAACATATTTATATGCAGGTTCCATTGCTTTACCTGTTTTCTATAAAAATATGCATTTGCGCAACCATCCGCAGTCCATTCGTAAGTATCCTCGTCTTGACTCTAGAACATCACGGTTCATTTTTAGGTACATACATTAACCTTTATGCGACTGGGGAAGGAACACGGGTAACTATTTAATTTTCTTGAGTTTCCGATGGAATTAGGGCTTGAAATTTTCGTAGAATCGTTTTAGTAACCATTAAGTTAGGAACGAGTATGAAACCCACGTGATAGAACACATTTTGCAGGCGAAAATGGGTATTATTTAAATATTTTACCAGGTATTTTTCATGAAAATATAAATTGAGGTAATTGTGTTCGAAAATGAATCGAATACGTGTGCGATGGAGTACGATTTGGCTGGCGCGTCTGTCCATTACTCACCATTTCTACTTGCGCCCAAGTCGAACTCTGTTGCACGCGTCCCAGATACATTTCCAAACGCAATTGTTTCGAAAACAAAGCTCGATACGGCAAAATTTTACCATAAATAACATCATAAACGACAGAAAAATATGAAAAAATAACCAAGATGAAAGTTACACCGTTTCTTCTTATTTCATGACGATTACATTTCGATTTTATTAAAGAATTAGTTTTTTACCTAATTTGTCATAGAGATTTATAGATCCCCAGTACTTAATGGTGTAATTAATTAGCCACCCACAGACTTTTCTATTTGATTCTTGTAAAAGGGGGGTTGTGATTTAGGAAAGGTTGGGAAACACTGCCCCAGTGGGTTACGTGTTCAGGAAAATTATCTTACAATTAGTTCGAACCCAAGTCTGTTTATAAACTCCGTGATATACCGCGAAGATAACTTGCGTGGTGTGAGCGGAATATATCACGGGGTTGCATCGGCCCCGAAACCCCAACAACTTAATTATCCTCTGTAACGTTGAATTACATCGAATTCTTCCGGAAAAAAGTCAATTATTTTGTGCAGACTTTCGATACTAAATGATTCTTCAGCCTTGATATAAACGGACTTAGCGCCAATATTTTATAGCGGATCGACGAACGCAATCTAAAATGGCGTCGTTAACGAACTTTTATGAAAATCATTTATGAATGATGTAAAACGTAATAAAGTAATGATGCAATTGATTATCATGCATGAGAACGCTTACGTATACTAATTAATGTAGAAAATTGGTGTGCTATAATTCGTACGTTCTCCAATTTCCCTGCAAAATATTTCTTGTTCTCCATAATGGAAATAATATTCTTGAATGAACGCAGTTGTTGATCACAAGTATATACAAGTATAATATTGAAAATTTTTCAATTTTTTACGAATCATTAGCGAGTCATTCTGCGTTCAACGTAATTAAAATACAGATAACCACGGTGATCACTTTGCAAGATATATTACTTTTAAATAAGTACGTTTAATATTAAACAGTTTCTTTATCGCGGTAAAGTCGGTTACAGGATCGAACTCACTGCCTTAACGTGAAATATTAAACAAGATTTATTTCCAAGTATCTTGTAAATTATTTACTTTTCGGTACTTCACGCCAGATTTCATTTCCTCTTGTTTCGTTTAGAAAATAAATATAGCACGGCCCAGTTTCTGCATTAATTCCGTTCGAGTATCGAAATAGTGAAACAATAGCTGCTCCAGAAAGATCGATCCTGCGGAGTTACGCTTTCTTTTTCTAATCGTATCAGAATTTTGCGTGAAAGAGGAAAGGTATCTCGGCGAGCGAACACCGTTTACATCGACGTAATCGTGTCGCGAGACTGCTTCGTGAATTAACGATAGTTCACCGTCACGCGACGTTCGCTGGGTAATAATATCGTCGTTTGCAATTTTACCACGCGCTACGTGGCAAAACGTTGATGCATTAGTATCAACCGATCGTGAAATCCCTATCGATTATCCCAGTTTACCTGCTGCACGATGCTTCATTCTCCAGTATTAATTATAGAAATTGATTTATAAAACGAAGCTTTCATTAAGCTCCAGGCTCGGGCAGAAAGAGAATGAAGCAACGTTGGTGTGAAATTCTTGCCGGGGCTCTGGAATACTTCAACGGTGCCGCCTACGGGCGTCCAGGAACACCTGTAACTCGACGTTGTCTCGTTGCATCGAAAGAACAACATTGTCTCGTTACTTCTTGCGATTAATCGCAACAAGCACGACCGGTTTGCAACGCACGTTTATCGAGATGGCAGAATTCTTCTTTAAAACCAATAGGAAACAATTTAATTCCCAACAGCTTCCAAACATTTCTGGATACACCTTAAAAAAAAAAAAATTTCTGCGCTACAAAAATATTTTTTATAATCATAAATCGACAGTCTTAAAATGCTTACGCGTTTGCTTATATTTCTATAAATATAAACACTCGTATTTTTACCAATTCCAAAAACATTTTTGTCCAAACTGAAACGAAGCATAAAAAATTTTTTAATTCTTTGAACGATAAAAAAAATTATATTTCTACGTGAATTAAGACTTATTTATACGTGGTACAGAAAGGATGCATGATTTGTATATTTAGAGAAAACTCTGTTTTTCTGTGGGCGGCGGATAGGTCGTATAGAACAACGATCTTATTTAGAACTTATTTTCGGTTCTACAACTGCACGTGACGTGGGTTGCATCGATGATACATTTCCTGGATGTTTTGGATCACTTTCAATGAAAGTTCTTGGTAATACAAGTATACATATATAATTTTTACCAAACCTTAGAGTAATTCATTAAAAAATAATCGATTTTATTTGGGGCGATATTTTTCCACTCGAGACTATGCATTAACAGTGATATCGTCAATAGTGTCACATTTTATTAGACCAATTGCAAATCAATAGGGGTAATATTGAGGAGGGGGTAGAACTAGTACACAGAAAAATGTGATGCTATAGTTTACAAAGAATGACCTCTTTTCATGGTCAAGCTTAGTGTAATTTATTCAAAAATAATCGATTTTATTTGGGGCGATATGTTTCCACTCGAGGGTAGCATTAACAGTGATATCGTCTTTTGTTGAAAGAAAAATAGTGTCACGTTTTATTAGACCAATTGCAAATCAATAGGGGTAATATTGAGGAGGGGGTAGAACTAGTATACAAAAAAATTTGATGCTAAAGTTTGCAAAGAATGACCTCTTTTCATGGTCACGCTGATTCCCGACCACCCCTAGTGTCGTTCGTCGACGGGCAATTATTGCGCGCGAAAGTAAATCGTACGTCATAGCGGATTGCGTCGACGATCCTCTTGGTGGACAACGAGGGTGAACAAACGACGTCGTCGAGGCGATATTTCGGTCCGTCGGGCGGCACAATGTCCGCGTCAGCCTTCGTCGGTCCATCTTTATCCCGCGGTTCGTCAATAATTCGGTGGCGAACGTTGTCGATGCCAACGCGTGGCGCACGGCCCGAGAACATTCTGGCGGATCGTACGGAAACGGGCCAAACGGAGCGAGCAGAGCGTAGAAAGAGAAGGTAAGATCGGAGGATGGAAATAATCCGAAGGTGGAAGGTAGACGGATCCGCGAGCGGGATAGATGTGGGAGAGGGGCATAAGGATCGTGCACGGTGGATAGAAGAGAAGGTGGTTTCGTCTCGTTTGCTCGATGAGCGAAAGAAAAAGGAAGAAGAGCCAGCAACGGTGGTCCGCGTGCCGCCGTTGGGTCGGGTCGGGTTAGATCGGGTTGGGTTGCGTGGGGTTGGATTGGTCGGGCGGGTGGGAGGACGGGTGATCGGTAGGTGGCTGGGTGGCGTGCTGACGTCATCGTAGCGGCATCATCGGCCGCGTGGGCCAATAGGGACGCTCACTCGAGCCAGGTCCATCGATCCGCCGGCTGCTGTCGTGTGTGTCCCGGGTTATGACGTCCGCGGGTGACGTCATCGTTAGCGCCGTTCGCCGTTCGCCGCCGTCGCTACACACGCTACGGTTTTAATATAGCGGAGGAACGCGCGCGATCCGGACTCAGTTACGCGGCGGCCGGCCACCCGTGCGAGAGTGTGTCGCTTTCTTGCTAAACGTCCGTGCTGTTTTTTTTCTCCTCTATCACGTACTATCCACGCTACCACTCGTCACACTGCTCTCGACTATTTCTCCGTCCGGTGATTTCGCGTAACCGCGCACGGGCTTGGCCGTGGAACGCGCGTCCAGTGAGAAAACTTGGGATTACGCGCGAGGAAGACAAACCCAGTGGTGTTAGCCAAGGACGTTTGTGTTTGAGTTTTCGCGTGATTTCAAACGGGGGGTGAGAGAGAGGGAGACTACCGCGTTGGAGCGCGCGTGGTTCCGCGTACGGGACTCGGTGTGTCTCGTGCTACGTTGCCCGACGAGACAGAGGTGGTTCGAAACTGGGGAAACGATCAGCTGATCGCCGCACGGGCTTGATTTTTAAAGAGACGAGAGAACCGAGCGGGGACGCGATGTCGACGGAGGAACGGTAAACCGGAAGTTCCGGGGACGTACGGGGATCAGGAGTCTGCATGCGAGTGCCCAGGGCAGAACTGTTCGGGCTCCTTGATGGAGCGCTGACCTCCGAAGACGTCAGGAAGGCTTCGTCTAGCCCTACGACGACTCACACAGGTCGGTGATACACGTGTGTCGTCTCGTCGCTTCTGTTTCTGTTTCCATGTGTTGTGGGTGAGTTGTGTGTGTGCGCATTTCCGGGTGGATCGTAGAGCACGTACGTTTCGTTTCTTGTCCCCCGCTTCACGATTTTTTTGCCCCCCGCGTCGATAATGATACAGTCGAGAAATTCCACGTTCCGCTGACTGGTACGAACCGGCGTTTACAGGCCCGTGAGAATTATCGACTGCGAGCTTTCATCGACGCGGTTCCACGGTTTCATCCCCTTTCACTTTCACCCGTCCGTTCATCGTCGACTTCTCGTCCACCTTGTTTTCGCGCCACGGACACATACACCATCATCGTATCGTTAGAAACTGAGAAGGAAACACTGTCTGCCAGTACCCACGTGTAAACGTTTCACGTAATCGGTCGTTCGATTAGCGTTCTACCGATCGGTGCGAGAAAGGTCCACCGTGACGGAGGCGAAAGGTAAAGAAAAAGCGCGAGATCGTTCCGTGACGATGGTCGCGATCGCCGCGGCCGTCGATCGTCCGCGCGCGGTCGTTTAAAGAGACACGTCGGGATAGCCCAGGCCCTCGTTCGCCCCGACTGGTTGGTGAATGAGACGAGCAAAAACGAGGCGCGAGAGTGCTGATCGTACGTGCGATGCGTACCGTCGAGGATACGGCCACGGAAGCAGCCGCGGCCGGTGCCGCGACCACCCACCAGCGTGCCACCACCGGCAGGCATCTACTCGTCGATCACAATCACGATCGCGATCACGATCAACGAGATCGATCGACGACGATCCATCTGCCGACTACACCGTACCACCAGGTCACCATCGCGGCGGACACCAACAACAACCATGACCATCATCGGAACCTCGAGCATCACGCTACGCAACGCCACGATCATTGGAACAAGTGTAAGTCAGTAAAAAAAAAAAAATGCAAAGACTTTGGGACCGTCCTCTATAGTTTATCGTCGTGTACCAAGGATTGCACACGTTCGCTGATGGCTGTCAGGTTGTAGTTAAAGGTGGTGGTGGTGATGGTGGTGGTGACGGTGGAAATGGATCGATCGACGCGAAGAGTCCTTCGGGTGATCTTGTTTCAACCGAATCCTACGTTCGATGCACTTTTCTTTTCGTCCGTTTCATGGGCGGAATCCTGGAATCGTATCGAGCAGAATTCGTCACGGTACGAGTTTTTAATCGATCGAGTTTCCGTAGCTGCGGGAGCCAGGCGAGTCCGGTCGCTTGTTAAATTTGTGAAAGTTTTGCACGCGGACGGGGCTGGGGTTTTGGCCGAAAAATGGCGGGACATTTCGAAACGAACGGAATTTCTAACTTATTCCATGAATTTTATTTTATTTGGTTAGTCGTCCCTCGATGTTTATAAGATACTTTATATTGGAATAATTTAAGATAGTTAAAGTAGAAGCACGGCTCTTTATACGGTTCGGAAAATTCAAAAGTCTCGACTATACCGTCGCGAATGAAAATAAAAATGGTAAACTTATGTTCGAGACTCGAAATTGAGGATTCTTATATGCTACATTATTTTAGAATATTTTCGTAGAAAATGTTATTTTTTTCGTTTCGCCAATTACTACATCGAGCGTCTTAACAGTGACTTTGTGGAAAAGTCGGTGTTTTCCGTGATCGATGACCGATCGTTGGATCACTTGGTCTCGCCCCTTAATTTGCCCGTCTTTATTCTATCACCAATAATTACAGAGACCTTTAAACGGTCTCGAACCGGCAGAAGACCGAAAGACAATAGCGTGCGCGACGAAGTCGCGTGCGTTCCCCGCTGGATAACGAAAAAGGTTAATGGGCATGGCATTAAAACAGAAAGAGCGAGCAAAAAGCGGAGATGAGGTGCGAACGATAGAGCGAAGGGACGATTTCTCCCCTCTCGACGTTTCACCTTAGCCAATCGATTTGAGCCGCGAAAAAGGATCTAAAGGTTGCGGCACTGCGATTGGCTTGGAACTCGCTCCGAACGGTACAGCGATTCTCGCAAAAACACCGATCCGTAACTCGGGTTTCGCATTTCCTATCACTTTCGCCTTCATTCCACGATTCCATCGATCACCACGCACCATCATCGTCGTCGTAACCGATCGAGAATAGAAAAAAAAAATGAAAAAAGACGCGCGTCGCTTTACGCGGTTAAATTATTCATCCGCGCCCGTTTTTCTCCCGGACCCCCCCAGCGACAGATTCCATATTCGAGCACGGGACCGCGTTCGATCGGTCGGTAGCCGTTCCGATAGGGCTCTTTACAGGTGTAATCGGCACGTTAAGGTAAATATAGTCTGGCAGTCGGCCGAGTGCAAGGCAGGCGTTTCTTTTCCGCGTGCATAGTTGGCCCGCACGAGACCTGCCCGCGCAGGAAAGAAGAGAGCACGAGAACGAACAAATATAACCGGACGGCTAAGCGAGGTGCAGGTGCGGTCACCGGTTCTGCTGCATTGTGGTCGAGGAACCCGGTGGCCCGTGCGCTCGAATTGCGAAAACCGATTGTCAGGTTCGCGAGAGTAACGGCCGTGACAATGGTAAATCAACGGCTTATGACTTCCGCGCGTTAAACAGCCGGGGCCTGGTTTTCTGTCGCGGTGCCCCGTTAAGTCCTGGCGTTTCGCTATCGATAGCCGATCGGCTGTCACTCTGACCGTTACGTGGGCACGTGATTGCGATATACGCCGGGTTTCGACGCGGAGAGCAGAAAAAGAAAATGCACTCGACGACTAGGGAGCTAGGGGGGAGGGGATAGCGCTGATAAAGATATCGGTCGCGAGATCTGAACGGTCCCCGGGTAGCAGTCTCGATCGGTCTTTCTCACCGTGGAAAACCGACGGTCCCGTTTGCAAAAGTGCACGATAAGGCCATAAGCTCTTGTTAAAGTTTTAGTCCCTCCAGGGAGACGAAAATTGCTTTGCACGGAGCAAAAATTTTTAGTGTCGATCGACGATGTCTCCATGTTTGGGAAATTTAATTATTAATATCTGATCAGTAAGCGTTGATTACGAAATAATCCAGGTCGAATTTGGGATTATTATTTCGATTTTAGAGTCCTATGTAATGCTAATTTAATTACTGTAACTTGAAAATTTATTAAAAAAAAAGTAAATGTAAAGGGACCGAGTGTCCCGTCGACAAAATCGATAATTTGTTTTTTGTATTCTTTGAAAGGTTTAAACAATCAAGAACGTGCACCTAAAGTTTCATTTTGATGGTCGACGAAATAACAAAGTTCCAACATATTCTCGAGAGTGTTTCGGGCCCCTCGAAAGTGGGTTTTTGCGAACTGGCTGTCAAAATTTGTGGAGTATATTCCCATCGCGATCTCGTTTTTCGTTTGTTTTCATTTCATATAAAAGTAACGAACAAATATTAAAGGAACCATTTTGTTATAAATTATCCCACGGAAAGCTACAATCACACGACAACGACAATACTGTAGCCTTAATAAGTTTATTTCTTATTAATTTACTACATTTATTTCGTAGTATTTCTTACTAATTCTTTTAAAATTTTTCAATAAATTTTTTATTGCAATTTATTGACAAATAATCATCCAAATCAAACGTATATCGCAAAAGTGACCCTACCTCCCCAGTCTGGTGTCCTGATATTCCCGGTCGAAACGTTACCAAGAATTATAATCGAAAGGTTTAAACAACCATAGGATACTAGATCGAATATTCGATTGCAACACGAAGAGTCGAAAAATAGAATGAAAGAATTGTAATATTTATAGTAATTAACGTTTTCCAATGTAAATGAATATTCGATTGCAATACGAAGAGTCGAAAAATAGAGAGAATTGAATTGTAATATTTACTTCAATTAACGTTTTCCAGGTTACATTTGCCTTTTCAGGCGATACGTAAATATTCGATAGAATTACTTATATGTGTTGAAAAAGAACTTTTCCCGAAATTGATCGTTTTTCCGAGTCGTTCGGTGTCGTAACCCTTTAATAAGCCTGTGTGTAATCGCGTGGTGGACGTCTCACGACGCAAGTAGTTAGCTGCAATCAGACTCGGACATTAGCGGGACGTGGATCGAGTCAGCCGTCTGAGCTGGCACGTCTCTAACTACTTAATTCTTTTTAAACGCTCGGCACACCGTGCGCGCGCCGTTCCCCATGCTCGATCGGCATGCGCAATCGACGATAAAATCTTCGTCCATTATTGCGCGAAATAATGAAGTATAATTCATTTTATTACGAATAATTATCGTGCACGGTAACACGGAATATAAGATGTGGGTCACGAAGATCATGAGGTAACGGAGTAATGTCGGGTGATGCGTAATATCGGGTTGCCGGCGCAAGACGGGAATTAGGTTCACGGGCGCCTCGCCTACAGAATTGGACCCTGTATTTACCAGCTTTATTTACCCCCGATTTTCGAATCCATCGTTCTCATAATTTCATCGCATTTTTAACAAATGTATCAATTGCACATATTTTCATTCATGGAATCGATTCCGAAAGCATTTCGAGCACCAGCTTCGTCTTTTCCAAACGTCTGATAAACGTCAGACAGACGAAAATATCTTCGGCTGGCCTTCTTTATGGCCGGTAGACGGGACATACGCCGCGAGATTGTTTTTAAGATTCTACCAGACCGAAACTCGCGTTACGATCTAAGGTTATAACTTCGTAAAGCGCGGGTCGCACGTTTGCGCGACGAACGACGTCGGTTAAGTGGTCGGGGATCGTTCGTAAAATTGAATAGTATTTTGACGGCAACTGCCCCTGGGACGCGCACCGCTTCCTAGAGGCCAATTGCATTGTTTTACTGGGCAAACTAAATATACGTACGAGGCGGGCGATCCGCGGCTACTTGGCCGGGGCACAAAGACGGCTAAAGAAACGACGAAGACGCCGTGCATCACGTGCCGTTACACTTTTCACGTTTTCGGCATGCTAGCACGATGAACGACCGGCGATTCATCGCCTCCACATCGCGACGTCTCGTCTAACAACGTACGCACC